TCCCTTCTGGATCCCTGGTGGCACAGTGGGTTAGGGGCTGGGCTGTAATCATACATTCAGCCGTTCTAAGCCAGCAGTAGCTCTGTGGAGAAAGATGGGCTGTCTGCTCTGGCCACATGTACAGCCTCAGAACCTCCCTGAAGCCAGAATTCTAGCCTGTCCTCTAGGGCTGCTCTGAGGCAGAAGTGAAGGCAGTGGGCCTGGTTGGTGTGATTTTGAATACTGGCTCCCTAGAGAGGAGCTGTGCAGATGTAAATAAATGTGGTTTCTGAACAAAGGGGTGCTAGTCTTCATTGCCTTAACCTAACTGCTATGGTTGCTGCTAAGTGCTACTGTTGTTGTTGTTGTTAAGTGCCATAGATTTGGACCCAAAGCTACCCTGTATAGGGTTTCCAAGGAGCAGCTGGTGAGCTTGAACCACCGGCCTTGCTGTTCAGACGAGTTTGCAGTCGGTCACATTAGCCCACAGCGCCATTGGAAGGGCTTTAATCTGGCTTCTGCCTCCATCATTAGAAACCCAGTTCTCTGCAATGGCCAATCACAGCCATCATTCAAGTCGAAATCCACAATCACTTCTTACCCTCCTTTTAAAACGCTCTTTTCTTGACGTGTGACATCAATCAACCCTGTTTCTTTCATATCTATCAGTCCCTTTGGCTAATTCATCCTCACTCATCTGATCTTTAAAAAAATTGTAGAGCCTCAATATTCAGTATTATGCCTTCTTTGCTTACTCTCTAGGTGCAAACAGTTAAGTGCTTGAGTACTAACTGCAAGGGTGGCGGGTCAAACCCACCCAGAGACACTCTACAAGTATCAGAACGAACATACGGGGTGTGACCAGCAAATGGCTTCTTTCTTATTTGAGGTCTTACCTAGGCAATCTCACTCCCGTCTTTAGAGTCAATTAACCAGAACCAAGTAATGACTCCCGTAGTTACATGTTTAATTCAAACCTCCCCACTTAACTCTAGTTCCTGTATCAACACCTACAGGATAAATCTACTTTGATATTTCAAAGGCATGTCAAGTTCAACATGCACAAAATAATCAGATTCCTCCACTAAGGGAGTGCGGGGACTCTGTACAATAAGCACTAGACTGCCAATCACAAAATCAGCAGATCGCACCCACCAGCTACTCCTTGTGAGAATGGGGACTTCTCTCCTGCAAAGATTTAAAGCCTCAGAAAATATACAGGGCCACCACCATGAGTTGGAACCAATTCCAGACTGAAGACTATCTCCAATATTTCTTACTGAGAGTTGGTTCAGACCCATAGCGACCCTGCATAGGGTTTCCAAGGAGCAGCTGGTAACCCTGAAGGTCAAGTCGACCTTGCAGTCCAGTGCATTATCCTGCAGTAAACGGTACCAAGTGAACCCTGGTAACACAGAGGATAAAACACATGGCTGCAAATCCAAAGGTCGCTGTTAGGACTCCTCAGAATAAAGACGTTAATCAGCTTCCTTTTCATGGACCACTCTGGAAATCCCGAGGCAAGTCTACTGTCTCGAGGGATGCTGTGATGGACCCAATGCTAACTGTTCTCCTTCAGTGGGAAACGTCGGAGCCTGACAGCCAGCCTTGACCCTCCAATTCTTTGAGCCTGTCTGTTCAATTTCACCTTCTAATGGCTTTCTGCTCCCGTAAAGATTTACAGCCTCGGAAACCCTATACAGGGGCGCTATGAGTCAGAACCAACTCCACAGCACATAACCAATATTTACTATTCCACTTCAAATTCCTTTGCCACACTCAAATCCACGTTACTATCTTACATCACCTGAAATAGTTAAAAAGAGTCCCCTAATTATTGTCCCAGAGTGTGGGTGTGGCGTTGTGGGTTAATGCGCTGGACTGCAAGGTCAGTATCAACCACAAGGTTGGTGATTCAAACTCACCAACCGCTCCTCAGAAAGAAACCCTACACAGGGTCACTACGAGTGGAAACCGACCCAACGGCAATTAACAACAACAACCATGATTGTTCCAGCATCCACTTACTATGTATTAATAAAACCATAAGGAAGCGAATGAACAAAGGACCGGACTAAGTATCTCCTAGTGCCGCTGTGGGTTGGTCAGCACTTAACAGCAAACAACAGCCATGTCATTCTCAATTAGTTAAATAAACAGCACTCATGTGTCTACTCCGAGAACAACACTTTGAAATCCATGAGAGTGACAAGCTAGAGCATGCTGTAACACACAAGGATGTTTCAAAGAGTTTGTGGGAAAACTCCTGTATCTTTCCCTTCATTTTTCCATGAACTTTTTGAGGCTCCCATGTATCTGATGGGAGTCCTGGTGTGGGCACTGCTGTTAATGTGCTGGACTGCAAGGTCACTTTGAATCGAAAGGTCGGAGTTCACCATAAATTGTAAATTTTTTTCAATTTTATTTGAAAGTTCATTATTTGCATTTTCGGAAATACTGTTTTTTAAGATTATTGAGAAACCAATGAAAAACTTTAAGCAGGAAAGCTCACCAGCTGCTCCTCAGAAACCATATACAGGGTCACTATGGGTCAGAAACAAGTAGCTGGCACTTAACACAACAACGTATGTTACGATGGCAACTCTAAAACAATGAGACTGTTACAAAAACAGACTAAAGATACAGTCTAAAAGTTGTCATGTACAGTGGTCTAAACCTTGAGGAACTAGTTAAGTTTTCCAATATTAATTTCATTACAAAATATTTTAGGGATTCCTATTTCAGAATAGATCTTGCTCCATGGGCTCTTTGACAGATGAGGTTTTCTGCTCCCATAAAGATGTACAGACACAGAAGGCCTATGCATCTAACTCGTCGGCACGCCGCCGCCGCCAGCTCTGAGTTAGAGTTCAGTCACATAGAAAATCAATCTCAGGTCCCCACGTGGCTCCAACAGCTAACCTACTTGGATATTAACCGACAAGTTGAAGGTCGGAGTCTACCCAGAGGCACTACAAAGAAAAGGCCTAGTGATCCAGTTCTGACAACTCCACCGTTCAACACGTGATGGAGCACAGTTCTGCTCTGACACCCATGGGGTCATCGTGGATCAGAACTGACCTGACAACAACTAGTCCTTCTGGTTGTAACATACATACAGCTTAATGTAGTCAGAAAGTACTGCAACAATAGAATAGCTACAAACCCGTACTACACAAAAATACCACAGTGTAGCTACCGTTTCCCAGCAAGTCTTTCAGCTACGTCTGCCCATCCCTGAAGGCTGTGTTTCCATCTCTCTGACTCTTCCCCAAATCATTCTGTGCTCTGTGATTTATACCACGCCAAAAAGGCACTGAGCCTCCTTAAAGGACTCTAACCTGCTCCTTGTAAAGGCTCTCTGAGTTTGGGGAAGGAAGAGCAGTCTGAAGGGGTAACATCAGGGCACGAGGGTAGGTGGGGTGACGTTTCCCAAGGGAATTCTCGCAGATTGCCTGACGCCATCAAGGAGCAGCGGTTACATTGTCGTGATGGAAAGATTCCTCCGCACAACTGCCGCAGCCTTTCTCTCACCAACAGAGCGTCCCACTCTGTAAAAACGTCTTCCTAATAAG